TGACTTACTGAGGAGATAGCTTAATGAACAAGAAATCGTGTTATCTAGAGCACTCTTGATAACTAATTTTTGTGTGCTAACACAGAAAATAACTAAAACAGTACTAAAAACGAAGCAGAGTTCTGTTTACTAACATGAGTACACGGACTCAGTCCAGCAACCGCTTTTTATTTTTCTGTAATGACAAGAGTACAAGCAAATAATTTTTGAATTCCTTTGCTCATGATTTACAAATAAAGCTGTGCATCACTTGTGTACCTCTTGAGTTTGTGTCCTTTTCAAAGTTATGCAAAACATAGCGCAAAAGTTTGCATTAAATTTTGGTGGTAGCAACGTGATATAACAGGTACAAATCACATTTCATTTTTCACTCTTTACATACCACCAGTAACACATGCTTTCAGAAATCGCAACCTCGAATTGTTGTCTTTGAGTAGATGTTTGGATGCGGGTTGCATTGTCGTTTTTCTAATTATCACGCAATGCTCTGAGAAAACAGTTATCACATGTTAAACAAGGCCGTTTTATCATCTTCAAAAGCTTTCATAGCAACTTGTGCATTTTATGGCATTTTATGTTTTTCAGCAACTGAGCTCAGGTGCAATTTCCCATTCGGATGGAAGACTGGCCCCCGACTTGGGTTCCACCCCCCTCCCCCCAAATTTATGAACGAAGTAGGCCAAAGCCGATGAGAACCGCGTTCACAGGTTATTTTGGGGTAGGTTGGGTCATTTGTGGCTACAAAGACCCCCCCCCCCTTACTCATTTTGCGAAGCTGCACCCTACCTAGACTACATTACTTTGATCGAACGAGGAATGCCTTAATTCACCAGAGCACTGGAAAGGTTGTCCTCCGGACCATTTCGATTCCTCAGCAATTTTGTTCTCTATGATGACACAAAAAAAAAACGGCGTAACCTTTGGCGCAGCTCAGGCTATTTTGCCTCGCGACCACATCGGGGAGGGGAGGGCATGTTCAAACATTCCCACTTAACAGTTTATGGCTGGATAAGAAAGAAGCAAACGTGACAGGCCTGGCCAATTTCACCCGCTTATTTTGCATGATGAATATGACCGTGGACGTCATCATTCACACTTCAGCATCCGTGATATCACATACCGTTGTGAACGAGATCAAACGCGTGAGTATCATCGTTTCTCAGTGCGTCTCAGGCGGGGTGTGCGTCAGAATCACTCCAAAGCTGACGAAGCCTGGAGTCAAGGTCATGCTAATACCACACTGGGTCAGCATCGGGCCACTTAAATGGAGGCTATTTTTATATCCTTTTGCATGCGTGCCATACATATCATCGCACTGGTTTGGAATTATGCCGGCCATTCGGATGAATTTATCGCATACAGAAGTGATTAGAGAACATCATGGGCATCTCGCCATTTTGCATCCATGGGTGCACATCTGAAAGGGAGAGAAGATGGTTTAGGTGCAGCCTTTCCGAAAATTACCAGCATAGTTGTGGGGGTTTTGGTAGCAAAGCTATGAAATGTCGGGTACATGGTTCAAGAAATAGGACTCAATGTTGCTGTTTACGCTTCTTTGAGTAACAACAAGTTTTGCGCACTGCTTTTGTCATTATCAACGTGAATGGCAAGATTTTAGTCTAAACCTCCGTGAGCCTCTTCCCACATTATAATACTGAATGGCTTCAAAAATGGATATGCAGCGTTCACCGGCGTGTAGAGACATCGAAGGAAACGTTAGCAGGTGGGTATGGGCACAGTCTCCCGGGAAGCGGGTGGACTGAGTGGAGCCTCACCGGTGAAGGCCTGTACGCAAAATAGTAAGTAATTTTTGTCCGACGCCCACAAGATGATCTCGCAAGACCTCCGATAATGACCTATATGAACTCGTGGTGTGACTACCGCTAGTGTACAGGGCAAGGAAACCAGTCGATGAACTGCATCGCAGCGGTGGAAAATAAGAAAGGAAGCTGCAAATAGCTCCACGTGGGGCCAATTGGACATGCAAACCTTCACCGATGACGTAGCTTGGTGACGTGATCGGACAATGATTCACTTTGTCTATAAATGGGTCAAAAATAAGCACATGTCATGCATAGAAAATTTCATGAACCTTTACGACGGAGTTTGCAATTGTCAAATTCTGCAAGGAAATTGTCTTTAGCCCCGGCGCTCGCGGGTCGACAGCATGCTGCCGAGGTTGGCACCGGCTGTAATCTCACTGTTAGCTTCGACATGTAGTGGGCTTGCCAAGTAATTGTTTCTGACGCTAAGGTGTAGCAAGCGGCCCGCATCCCCCCTGACTCACGAGTTACATTTATTGTCGCGAAGGGTTTTCGTTTCACACGACCATAAGTCCTGCGATGCGTTGTTTTTAGCGAGGGTCCAGCGCTAGGTAAGTAACCTTTTGGCATGACGCTCGTAACATCGTTCAAGTTCGCGGTATTATGGTTCAAAATGTGGCTCAAAGAGGGCAGTATTTACTAGTGCGAATGTGAAGCCAAAGTGATAAAAACGGTTTTGTCCTGCAGGCTATACATCACCATGCGCGCCGCTTGTGCTCGTGCTGCTCGTTGGGGGCGGCGTCCTCCTTTGTGGAGAAGTCCGAATGGAACGCCTTCAAGCAGGAACACGGCAAGGCCTACGCCAACCCTATCGAGGAGTTCTACAGGATGAAGGTAACGCGTTCATTTTCCAACCGCATGCTTAACGATGAACTACGCATTAGTAAGTCGTCGCTTGAGGCCACCATAGTGCCCAGTTCCTCCATGCAAATGCTCCCATTCTCATTAAACACTGCTTCATAACTATCACTGTTTGCAGATGCGCAAGGCAAGCCCAATGGTGTAGTAAAGTTGCAGCAATGTTACTAAAGGCGCTACAAAATAGGCAAAAATAGATGCGGACACGTGTACAGCCAACACCACACTTATTTCGTATGCGCCCACTTCTAGGGTTTCCTTCAAGCCGTCTCATAGGATTAGGGGGAAAATGAGGGGATGTGCAATTAGGCACACTTTCAAAACACAGTGTTACATTTCAAAGTAGTCATTATCCTCTAATTGCATGTCCACTCGGGGTCTAACTGCGCCCATACTGGCCTCAAACCGCTCCTGCATTTGAACCGTAGTGTGGAGTTTTAAGGTGCATCAACTGCAAATGGGCATTGCCTCAACGCGCCGTAATGCAAGGCTTCTCGTGGGCAACGTGTTTGGTATTCCACTGAGGCATCGCACAGAAGTTGAAGAATTGCCGTGGCATGTACTTCGTGCACAAGAGGAGGGAGGAGCTGCATAGAAACGGCAATCGATGTTCGGGCTGCTCTTTTACAAACATCGTCGCGGTGCATCATTCTTCAATGAGTTGTTCATCAGTTCTCTAGAAATCAGTAAACCCATGGCACGTGCCATTTAACAGTACTATGAACGCGTTGCCATTGCCGAGTTGACGCGCCAAGCTGTCACGTGAAAAAATATGGGTATCATACCGTCACCCTCCTGCGCAGAGTGTACGAGTGTTGTTTTAATCGTGTAGCCGATTGGGTCTGTCCGACTCTGAGTCACTTCGACTGTGTCCTTGTCGTAACAAGCTACGCGCTTGTGCGTTGCAAGTTGTACGATCACGCAAACAAACTTGCTTCCTTTCGCAGATTTATGCCGACAACAAGGCGTACGTCGACAAGCACATGAAGGAGTATGCCGAGGGAAAGCACACCTTCACGGTGGCCCTCACAAGTTTGCTGACCTGACCACCGAGGAGTGGAGCCGCACATACAAGGGCCTCATCAGGGGCAGCAGCCAGCCCCACGAGACCCACCAGCCGACCGGCAAGCAGGCTCCCAGCAGCATGGACTGGGCGCCAGTACGGCGTGGTGACCGGGGTCAAGGACCAGGGCCAGTGCGGCTCGTGCTGGGCGTTCTCGGCTACCGGCGGCTTGGAGGGCGCCTGGGCGAGAGCCGGCAAATTCATGCTCCCTCAAAGCGAGCAGCAGTTGGTTGACTGCTGCTCCACACTTACGGAAATCAGGGATGCAACGGAGGACTCATGGATTTGGCCTTCCGGTACGTAAAACTGAGCGTCCATCACCTCGCCAGAGTACAATATCGTTACAGGTTAGCTTCGAAGTTGCATCGTCATCGTTCAGCTGATTTATTCCAAAGGTAACCACATATCTTTGGTCAACAATGTGTGTGGGGTAAAAGGATTTGATCATCAGAGGATCGGGTAACTATTTACGCTAAGCCCTTTGAAAGCTATAAAAGCTGTCATTTAGTTGATAACTGAGAAGAATGGCCGGAGCTGCAATGATGGTTGAACTGAAATGCGAACTCCGTATTTTGGTAGGTACAAACAATCGTAACGTGCCAAAGGAAGACAATTTTCTACGCGTCATGATTTGGTAAACGGCTATGTTTGAGGAGGATATCTATGTATCATGTGTAGTTTGATTCGTTAAACTGGCATCACAGCCTCCCGAAACCCAAGGAGCACGTGTTTATATAAATTGTTTGCCATATATCAAATTATTCTGAAATGTTGAAAAGACATTGAAATACTACTATGGTTGAGCGTACCAGTTCAGGCAAATTTCATGAGCTACCTGGTGATGCATTTTGCAATTAGTATGAACGACACCGAAGCTTAACCGCAATCAGTACAACATATTATCGAACTGTGTTGTCAAAATTGCTGCACATCTTGCTTGATTCATAAAAAATTAATGCGAACTATTTATACGTATATATATATATATATATATATATATATACACATATAATATATAAACTTTACATATAGAATCGGGATGACTGCCGAAAGCCCAATCTCCATGGACCTCACTGTATATGAGCATACCTTGTTATTTGACTGGCCTCTTAAATGCCCCGCGCTTCTGAAAAATAGCTTAAATGTGGTGATGACGGCATTGCTCTTACAATGGATCCCAGGCGAGGATAATGAGGGCGTCGAAATAGCATGGCTAATGGTATTAGACCCATCGACATTCTGTTTATTATGATGCAATAGTTAGTATTGGTTCAGTAAAAAGAGTGTCGCGGAAATACCGATCAACTTGTAATACCCATTACCATTCCAACCGAACTTCACTCATTTCAATTTGGGTCACTGCACTTACGTCGAAGTCGTGCATCGTAGTTGCGGTAAGAACGTCCTTACGTGGGACTGGCTGTTCGTAGTATGCCACCGTTCGCAGGTACATCCAGGCGCACGGCGGAATCGAGTCGGAGGATTCTTACCCCTACACCGCCAAAGACGGCACGTGCCAAGACTACGGCACCAATGTGGCTCTGCTCTCCTCCTGGGTGGACATCCCGTCTGGCAGCGAGAGCTCCTTGTTGGATGCCGCCGGCAACGTGGGCCCCATCCCGGTGGCGATCGACGCCTCCCACCAGTCGTTCCAGCTCTACTCGAGCGGCATCTATACCGAGACCAGCTGCTCTAGCTCCCAGCTGGACCACGGCGTGCTGGTCGTCGGCTACGGCAGCGGCTACTGGCTCGTCAAGAACTCTTGGGGGGCTGGCTGGGGACAGGGAGGCTATATCATGATGACCCGCAACGGTAGCAACCAGTGCGGTATCGCCACCGAGGCCTCCTACCCGCGAGTCTAAGCGTTGATGAAAGCTCAAGGTGCGTACTTGCTGATACAAATGTAATGGTAGAACCTCGTTTTTACCACTTACTCGTGGGCACTTGTGGCCTACTCTGAAGGTTTGGTTTGTGCTAAGACATTGCTCAAAATATACACCTAATATCACTGTGGTGTTTTTTTTTGTGGCTGCGCGATTATTTCGAATGAAAAGTTGACCATGCGTACTGAGGTGACCACCAGTTGACGCCGAAAATGTTCAAAACATTTTAACTGGTATCGTAACTTTACAAACCGTGAGCGCTGCAGGTCCGCAAGCATTGAGAGAGGAGCTGTCTCTGAACGAATAAAACGTAAAACTAAATTGGTCAAGTCTGCTGCATTGACAACTAATAGCCGTTAACCCGCGTTATTAAACGCATACAGTGACACCCTTAGCGAGGGATGGTATCTTTTTTCTGAGCCCTCGAATCACTGGCCATCACGTTACATGTAGGCTGGCCTCACTTAGGAAGGGGGGATTTAAAGGGAGTGCGTCTAGTCTTTTGGGTTTTTCAAAACGCTATCTCTATAGATATATTGATCAAGCTATTGATATTGACAGCAATGAAAATGGCATTGGAGGCTTGCAACAAAGTTAATTCGATAGTTATTTTTATCATTGATGGTATCGATTGCTGCATGTACTGCACGATTGCTAGCAAAGCTCTCCTAGGGATAAATTGTACTATTCATCGGAACGGAAATGGCTAATACGTCATGCAATCCATTGTGCATCCGTGACAACCTAGGGCTTCACGGAAAATCATGATTCCGTAGCCCGTTAGCCGTGGGCTATTCCTTCGGTGACAAGCTTCTTCACTTCACCGGTGACAACTAACATCACAATGCCGGAAAAAATAACGTCACGTGTTCCCGACAGAAAAGACGTGACCGCGTGAAATTTGCCCTCGTTTTGAGCCAGATAAGCCTTGAGCGCCGTGGCCGAGTACGCTGGAGGTCAATCAGTACAGAAATCTTAAAAAAGTACTATCAGATATTACCGCGATCGGAGGGAGCGCCTAGGTGTATGATCTTATTGTGATTTGGCCTGGACGATAACATAACAATTGTGAGACCTTACTCAGTGCCCGTGGTGTGAAATGCAGCAGGTAGCCATCAAACCGTCCAGGATCGCAGCGTCCAGAATAGCATCAGTTCATAGCATCCAATATTGCGACACCAAGCGTTCATAACATCTAAAATGCGTCCAATACCGTACCCATTGCGGGCGTTCACGGCAGCTCAGCGCGAAACGTCCAAAGCCGTAACATCTAATGTTCACGGCATTCAGCGATCAAGACGTTCAATAGTTTTGGTTGCTGCCGCTAGGTGCCACTACTATAGCATATCTTTCCCAACTCCTGTCGCTAGATGACACGATAATGCCACATGCCCCTCTTTTGTTCACAGATGGCATAACTAATCCGACGTTCAAGCCACAATCACGTGATAGGTACAGTGGAACGCGGTTTCTATGAATTAACTAGAGTGCCTGGCGGCCGTGTCCGGCGTAGGCGCGGCCGCGCTCAGGGGCCCGCAGGCGGACTGAGCGCAGGCGCGCCGGGCGAGGGCGCGGCAGGAGACGCGGCGCCCGACGCGGGCTCCGCCGGGACCACTACGCCCGCAGGCCAGGCGGGCCCTCCCGCCTCCGCTGCTGCCGCCGGCCCTGGCTTCGTGCAGAAGCTGGGTGGCGTGACGAGCGAGGCTGGCGATGACGTCGAGGGTTTCATGCCGAAGGACAAGGAGCTCATCTTTAAGCGCTTCGGTGTGTGAGAGAGACGGTGCGGTGACGCCGCGGCGGCCCGCCGCCACCGCCGCGGGTGCGGCAGCTGCTGCAGGCGGATATCCTTCGGTGTGTGAGAGAGACGGTGCGGTGACGCCGCGGCGGCCCGCCGCCACCGCCGCGGGTGCGGCAGCTGCTGCAGGCGGATATCCTTCGGTGTGTGAGAGAGACGGTGCGGTGACGCTGCGGCGGCCCGCCGCCACCGCCGCGGGTGCGGCGGCTGATGCTGGCGGATATCGTCCCGTCCGGCTCGATATGCGATCACATTTTTGTCGACCTGAGGTGGCCCTGGTAGCGAAGTTGAAAACTTTCTGCAGTGAAGAAGGTTGAGACTTAGAATGCCTACTAAAATGTCAATTCATTTTTTTGTCGCCTGATCAATGTGACAGCTGTATGACAGATATGGGTTCATCACGATTCCTAGGTTTCGCACAGTTTCTGAACACTGTAACACCTAGTCAATGAGCACTATGGACGGATATTCTCAGGTTTGGGTAAGCTATCGACAGTCGCCAAACAATGACATCAGTTTTAGTGCCATTTGCCATCATCCCATGCTGTAAAAGCTACATGCACACTGCTTCTAAACAATGACTCAAATGACTACCGCATGTATGCTCATTTGACCCGAGGGCCTTCATTGTCCAGCTGGGTGTCGCCAGCGTACCGGACTATAGTGATACGGGAACCGCTTATGTGCGATGGGATGAAGCGCGCGATGTCCTTGCTGGAGACGTTTTACAGCAACGACCCAAGACATGACCTTTGAAATGTGCCAATGGTGATCCTTTTTGGTTCTGATATCGTCTGATCCACCATAGCACGCTTCGTGTGTCCCTACAAGTAGCTCTGGACCCAGTCTGTATATGTTTGGAGCTGCCACAGCTTCGTTATCAACAATGATTGGCCCACTACGTCCAAACAGTGACTCAAGTCGTCCAAAGTCAGAAGTGTTACTTCTGGTCGGTCCATGCTTTGTAGCACCTGATCGGAAATCGATAAAAGCGCCGTGTAAGTTGAGTTATTTTCCATGATGACATGCTGGTCCGAACTGAAAAGGTGATGGTAACCTTAAAAAAGATGATTGTAACCTTACTTGCCTAGTTCTACCACCAAATTCTCGCACCGGCTCGCGGTGTCGTACGTGCTAATCCGTTTGTGTCATAAATCCTAAAATTGTATAGGTGAAGCATACTCCGACAATACTTCCTAAATGTTCCGATTGGCACCCTAAAGCGTTTAAAGGTACTTTCTTCGGAAACGTTGTCGTTTTCATCTGCTCGCTGCCCACCGCCTAGTGTGAGACGCAGGACATGCGGGCCGCAGCCCTCGGAGATTAAAAGCCGGGCGCCGGGGTTTTTGTTATGACTTTCGAGCGCGCAAGGCCAGAACGTGAGATGTAATTTTTCACTTCTTAATTATGAACAAAAGTGATCATTTGAGGCCAAAATAAGTTGATGCGAATGCAAATTCATGACCCCGTTTGATCTAAGATCTACGTTTACAATGTCCTTGTACATCCCATAAAAAATTCCGGCACAGCTTCTGTGTGTCCCCCAGTGTCCGCCAGACGTACCCCTGGCTCACAATTCGTATATATTGGAAAGAGCGGGGAAAGGGATTCTCAACAGAACAGCACCTGCCAAGGAACATTCGGGGAAAGCTTGAATAAACTTAAATTATGCGTGAAATTGGCGTTAACGAGAAATAAGATGAATTCTTAACACGCGTTCGGGTGGGCGGAGTTCAAATTGACAACCCCGAAGGTTTTTCCCAGAATTATTTCCAGACGGCGCTCGTCAAACCTTGCATAGCCGTAGATAGTTTAATGGGGGATTTTGTATACAAAGTCTAGATTTACATTGCAGGGGCGCTGACCTATGGAGGGCCAAAGGCAGGCTATGGCTGTCAGTAAAGGACATTTCCAGGGAAGCGTTCAATGTGATGCAAGAACGGAGTGTTAGACGAAGCCATACATATCTGAGATAGTTTTTTAGACAATAAACCAATTTAAAGTAGAAATAGTATCAATTCCATTTACCGAGGGTCAGGAATAAAGGCTAGACCGAGTTCAAAACTAACTCGCTTTTTACTCCAGAGCTTGGCTTCACAAGGTAGTCTCTGGTGCTCATTTCGGTATTAGTGGCACAGACCGCAACAGACATATCCGTGCACTTTTTAAAGGTCATAGTCCAGACGACCTAAAATGACTAAAAATCCTCAGGGCAACATGTTGTTTTCAAAAACATAACACCAAGCGTAACCACCCCTGACGCTTATTGGAACAGCAAAATAGGGGCAATCTCACAGATGGTTAGTCACCTTGACCTTATAAAGGCTAAACAATGTCACTGACTTAAGTGGAATTTTGTTTAGAACAGGCATCTAGCTTATCGGTGGCCTGGGACTGCTTGAGACACCAACCTGCAGTTTGACTTTGTTAAACCTCATTTGACCGCAAGTTTATGACTTAGGAGCATCAAATTTTGACACAAGTGAGTTCCCGTACAGCTAAATCCACTCTGCGAATATGGTGTCTTTCGCTATCTTGGTTTTTGAGATCTCAGGCAGTTAAATTGACCACACCCCAGCGTAGGGTATTCAACAGGCCACCCGGCGCGTTAACAAAAATATTCACTGACATGCATATGTCTTATCTATGAAATTTCAGTGCGTCGAGAACCCGTGTATAACTGGGTCGTGATAGCTACATAGACAGTGGACACGCGACACTCTATTCGTGTGAATGCATGAATGAGCACATGACAAATCATCCTCAGCAGATAATGGTGGATGTTGCACACAACTTGATTTTTCAGTATGCAAAGAGAGAGAGAGAGAGAGAGAGAGAAGAGAGAGAGAGAGAGAGAGAGAGAGAGAGAGAGAGAGAGAGAGAGAGAGAGAGAGAGAGAGAGAGAGAGAGAGAGAGAGAGAGAGAGAGAGAGAGAGAGAGAGAGAGAGAGAGAGAGAGAGAGAGAGAGAGAGAGAGAGAGAGAGAGAGAGAGAGAGAGAGAGAGAGGAGAGAGAGAGAGAGAGAGAGAGAGAGAGAGAGAGAGAGAGAGAGAGAGAGAGAGAGAGAGAGAGAGAGAGAGAGAGAGAGAGAGAGAGAGAGAGAGAGGAGAGAGAGAGAGAGAGAGAGAGAGAGAGAGAGAGAGAGAGAGAGAGAGAGAGAGAGAGAGAGAGAGAGAGAGAGAGAGAGAGAGAGAGGAGAGAGAGAGAGAGAGAGAGAGAGAGAGAGAGAGAGAGAGAGAGAGAGAGAGAGAGAGAGAGAGAGAGAGAGAGAGCTGCCATTGCATCTCTTCAGCTTCACCAAATCAGGCTCGTTTATAAAAAGGTGAGGCAATCTAAAGCATTTCCATGTGTAATTGCCGTGGCTACGCAAATGGTCTTTAAAAATTAGTGTTATTGCTCGCAAAATCCGAGAATCTTTTGGATGTGTTCCGCTATGACGGCTTCCACGAATCCGCCCCCCTCCCCCCAATCAATTTAAGAAGCACCTCGTGCCCTTCAATCGGACACCTGATCGTCAGTCCCAAGAGACCGGTCGGCCTCCAATACTGTTCGATGCTGGCTCTGGGGTCTGTCAATGGAGGACGTTTGTGGTCCCCCGACTGACACAGGAGCCCCCCCCCCACCCCATTGACTCAGGGGCCTCGGTCAAAGTAATGCGCGGGCCCTGACCTTGTCCCTGAAAGGGAAATGGGTCTTCAGTCCCAGACCTGACGCTTGAATACTGGTGGTGAATCTGTCGCGTGTCACAGTTGTTAAGCCTCCACCAAAGCGGCGTAGCTTCGCGAAATAGGAAAGTGGCGGGAAAACCCAGGCGGGAAAACCTATTCGTAAATATATTAACAAACACCTTTTTCCGAATTTGGCAAACTTTGTTCTAAACGTCATGAAGTTTGAGCTCCCCCCCCCCCCCAACTGTGTAGAAAACTATAGCCCTGCTCTTATACGTTTCCTTGCTGTTTAGGCAGGAGATGTTATCATTGGGCATCAATAAAATTTAGCTTGGCGTCGATTGCCGGAACTAGGTTTTGGTAATCGACGTAGGGTCGATGCAATGTGGCTTCAGACGTTGTTGGACGGGAGTAAAGAGTGTAAGCCAATGTGTGCAACTATTAAGGGCTGCCATAGAACCCCCCCCCCCCCCCCGCTGGTGGCCACAAGGCGGGGTGCAGGCTGAAACGCAGCACTCGTGTAAAGCATGTTGGATATGGCCAGTGTTGACTTGGTAATCAATGTTGGACGATCACCGCTATCGATTTAGTCCACTGGTATCGATCGCCAACTCTCCAGAACTTTCCATTTAATATTCACGTCAAAATGAAAGTTAGTATACTTCAAGGCTCTCAACTGGACATGCATTGGCAGCTATCATTTATTTTTTGTTCCATGCAACTATGAAGCAATTAGTAGAAGCCTCCTTAAATTTGACAACATTTCTAGCTCCATTTTAAAGCATTTTTAATGTCCTGCTTGCCATTTGAGTCCAGAAGGTTCGAGGTAACTTGGACGTGGGAAGGAGGTAGTACCCACCCAAACGAATACGAATCGACGCCCGAGGCATGGCAGGCATATATGTGTATATATATATATATATATATATATATATATATATACATATATATATATATATATATATATATATATATACAAATATATGTATATAAATATATATATATATATATATATATATATATATATATATATATATATATATATACAACATCACGGCATTAAAGTGTGATAGGCAGCGCGTGAGGCACATTTACGCTGGTGATACACGGCCTGGTACCTCAAAGCCACTGTTCCCCTCGGCAGAGGAAGCCGCGGATGAGCCATTGTCATGCACAGCTTTAACAACCTTCGTTGACCTCTCAAGGCGCAGTGCGGATATTCGCAAACAAGCCTCCGAGATCGGCAGGGTTTTCTAACGTTTGTACCAAGGATGCCCTCCATGGTAATTCTTAGGAGAGCCGTACATCGGCGTGAAGAAACTGACGAAAAGCTACGTCCTTGAAGGCGGTGAGCTTCTGGCGACGCGAACGCAACCAACGACAGCCTACAGTCTTGCACTGAATCCCGTTCACAGCCGCGTGGCGAGCATTCGAAGCCATCGGCATCAAATGACGAGACGATCTCGTGTGGCAGGCTGATCACGTGCGTCGCAAGGTGCTGAGGCTAGCAACGTGTCTCACGACTAGCAATAAGCTGGTTATTTGATATTGCATATTATTTCGTATGTGACGTGAATCTTAGGTTAAAAATTCGTTTAAAGCGAACCGTCAGTGCTTCGACATGCGCGCTACCCAACCGCCCGCTGCGGGCATTACGGAGTACATATCAATGGTAAACTTAAGAGTTTCGTCCAGCTGAGAGGGAGTGTTGTTACTTGTTTCCATTTTCGCATTTTTGTCACCAAATACCTCTAAAGCGTTCATTTTTTGTCACCGATCATATCGCGTAAGTCGGTGGCTTTTTTCTGACCCACATTTCACTCAACAGTGACAAGTCTATTTCTTCCACGATCAGGACTGCGGCAGCACTCGGATGGTATCTAAATTGTAAAGCATGATAGCAAACAATGACAATTATCCTGACGCATTGCTGATCTTTCATCTGCTAAGCCGTAACCAAACAGATGATGGTTTTTGAGGACAACGATGGATGATCCTGCAACCACCAACTGAAAGCGCTGCATCATTACCAGTCTGATACCCTTTTGGGCGGCACTGAGGGCCCCTGGGCAATGGGAGGTCCCAGTTGGCGACCGGACGGTCCTATGTGGTCAGTTAAGACCCCGGAGCAGCCAGCAGCGTACGTCGCCGGCCATGGGATCTACAGTGGCCAGAGCGGCGCTGAGAGCTCAAAGCACACACGGGCACCAACGCGTGGTTAGGCTACGTGTCCGGGAAACCGGAGGCATGGGGTTTGCTTCCCCGCAGTGTCCGCCCTTCCTGCCAGGTGAGGGGCAGGCGATGCCACAGAGCCTCAGCAGATGAGTGCACTGTAACGCCCCATTACATACCTAAGCACCGCACAAAGGGCCCTTGACGATCAACGCGGCCTGAGCGGCCAAGAAACCCTGAGTAGTTTCGAGGTGCCCCTTAGTGTCCAAAAAATCAAATGTCAATTGCCTTTGTGGCTAAAAGGGCATGGGAAGACCCCGTAAGACCAATTAACACGACCAATGGTCCAACAAGGGCTTACTGAATGGCGAAAGGTTCCAGGGTAGCTAGGCGGGCCTTCTGAGCCATAGGGGACCACGTTTCTGTTAAAACTTCTGTTATAGCAGGGAAGCTTTGTTGGTCCTTATGCAGTATCCCTACTTTTTCTCCGCGCCACGCGAGCCAGAGACCCTCTTTTGGGGCCGTTGGAGCCACGCACCCATCCCCCCATTTTAGGCTCCCGGGGTTCCGGAGTCTGGAGTCTGGGACACCTCGACCGCCGGGATCTCTAACCGTGTATCTGACGCCCATACACAGATCCGGCTCGGCAGATCCAGTTTTACAATGTGCCCACGTCCAGATCATCGTTGTTGACATATCTTTTTATTATTATTACACTGACTTATCCCTCACCTCCACTGGAAAATCTATTGCACCGTGAGTGTCTTTTCATTGCCGTATCTGCCGCAGCGCGCCTGAAAACGCTATCATTTTTCTTTTTTGAGGTTGCCTCGAGGAGCACTCATAGCACTGACCAGTAGTATGTGCAGTATGCCGTGATAAGTGCTAGGGTGTAGACCTTCCTTCGCCAAGCGGCTTCAAAGCTAGTCATAAAATTACAGGTCTTCGATAAAACAACGGTGAATAAAATCCTTTGTTTCGTAGAGAGGTATGTAACTTAGTCTTCATTTGATAAGCTTGCCTTTTCGTAAAATTTTGGATCCGCCTGATCAAAACCCTATACAGCATTAAGGTCTAATTTCTACATTGCAGGGAAACAGCCCGCAAAATATACATTAAACGGAACAAGCGCGCGGTGCAAACGGATTTCTACGGAGAGGGTTCGCACACGTGTTCGTTTTTCCATTCCCACGCCGTTCTGAGAAGTGTGCCAAGTGCGTTTACCGTTGAGATTTTGTGCTTTCAGCCCCTTCCCAAAAACGTGTACATGTGTTCACTGCACGTCCGCATACGTTTACGTGCGACAGTCCCTAACGCTCTGAGAGTTGTAGGGACGTGTTCCCCAAGGTGTCGCCGTCCCTGGATATCTGCTTTGCCTGAACACTCGTACTGTTCCATTACTCATCTCTCCCCTCCCAGCAATCCCCGCTGTCAGAGAGGACGTGCCCAACGGAGTGCCAAGACGACCACAGGCCCTCACTGAGACACGTGCTATAGACTAGACACTGGGCAGTTCCGCGGGAAAGCAATTAGAATCTGTAAAAACTTGACATTCGGTCAATCCCCTGAAGACAATTTCGGGGAAGTGCTATGTTGCCTGGCGGTTCGGACAAGTGACTATTGCTGGCGTCTTCCGCAGATGAATCCGATTTGTGGGGACATACTGGGGCTAATGTCGCCTTTTCCCAACACAGTGGACACAGCTACACGGAAAGCACGGAAAGAGGCGGCCTCGCGCGTTAGTGCTGTTTACGAGTGTGGCGATGCTGACGGTGTCGCGTCGCCGTGGCGCCTACACGCAGTCGGCCGGGCTCTAAGGCCCGGATGTGCCGGTTCGACCCGAGGAAGACGGAGACGGGGCCCCATGCTATCCGAGCGCGGCGGCGTGCATTGGCAATAACAAGATTACCAATGCACAAAACTCACAGAAAAAGACGAGGCGTCATGGCAGGCTGCGTTTTTCGGACCAGGCTACACCACCAATAATTTGCGATAGATACACGCACACATGCGGGCACATTTTTGCCATCTATTGCACAAAAATGTCCGCACTGTCACACATTTCAGCAAAGCTGCCCCTAAAATGTACTCCGGTAACATCTCACAACAAATGATAAAATACTCCAGCCAGTTCCGTGCCGTAACAGTGAGGCAATTTTTATGGTAGCTATTAGTTATGTTTCTGAACGAGCCAAATGACGAGGACACAGCTATTGACTAAGCACAAGAATAAGAGCGACAACAGAGACCGTCCACAAACCACGTCCTATGCCATGGTCACATTCTGAACACGACACTAACCCCGCCCGTGCCTGTGACCTCGCTCCACCATCATTGTGACAAGACGCTTCCCACCCCTCGCCAGCTCCGAAGCATATACTACTACTCCAGTAATTCGGCTACTCTGTTGCCGGCAGCCTTTGATAAGCGTAGCCGCACATGAGACCGTGGCAACAGCACGCCACGCGCGCCGACTTGTCGTTTCTGGACGGTCCCGGCGGTCTGCCACGTGGAATGTGAGAGCCTGCAGCCTCTCGGCAGCAGAATTGTTCACGCCGCTGGCTCGGCCCGTCCGCCTGTGCCTAGCGGGCGGGGTGAGCTCACCCGACGGTGCCAGTCCGTGAGAGCACGTAACGTGGCCGGAGCACGGGACAGCACTGCGCGACAGGCAACAGACGCAGTCGCCGGAGGGTCCTACACACAACCTGCGCGCGTGTCCAAGCGGTTGGGCAATACTGACTTGTCCAGCACTACAGACAGCGAGGGGCACACGTGGTCGTGCATAGGCAAGCGGAGGGCGGTGATGGCGGCCGGAGACACATCGGTGCACCGCCCGCGAGCCCGGCTCGGCTAGTGACGGGGACACACAGACCAGTTAACAGACAGACGGTGACGACCTGGGCACGTTCCTGGGCCGGCGCGCGACATGCGGCGACGCGGCGAGCGGGCGCCACCGCCTAGCTCGAATTCTTCTGCTCCGGGCTGGTGGTGAGGTATGCGTCGGGACGTTTGTGCTCGTTCAGAGCCTTCTGCGTGTACATGTCCTGCGGCAGCTCCGACTTCTTCCGGAGCAGGGGCTTCGGCTTGCCCTGGGGTGCCTTCACCAACTGAAAAACACGTTCCGAAGCGATAAGTGGCGGCCCGCGCTTGGGATGACTATCGAACTCATCATAGCAGTACGCACCAACTTTGTGTGTGGCAGCAACTCGCCCCGAAAACTATTGAACCCAGAGCAAACATATTTTAACGAACATGCACCAGCGTACATGCTGGCGTACAACGAAATACTAATTACCACCGCGTACCACAATGCAATGTGCATGCGCTGTGTACTGATCGGTGGCCGCCATCTGTTTATTCCATTTTGCTTCAGTCACTCGTTGCGTCCAAGCAGCTGCGCCTTCGTGACAATCGAACGGCTCACGTCAACCCTCGGCTTGGATTCACAGATTCAGAAAAGTTCAGGATGGCTTTTGACTGGTACAGCCAGAGGTAGGATCATTTAACATGCTAAGTGTTTTCCGACAAGTCTCGCTGTTTCGGACAACACGAGCAAACGGCATTGTAAAGAGGATTGTTTTCGAGTAGCTGCGCATGCAACAACGTCCAAACACTGCGGTAGCGAGGTCAATGCAAGGGATTACAGTCGATGAAGAGACAGTGGCAACTATACAAAAATCGGAAGCTGCCAATGTCATCCGAGCGATACCTCTGGGGTTTGTTTGAACGCGCACTCAGCCCCCACCGCCGGGGCCGTTGAACGATCAACATTTCAACGTTGAGCATTCGCCAATTTCGTCGTCGCAGTTGATGGCATTCAAACAAAAGTTGTATCCTTATATGATTTGTTCCGAGTACATTGTCACACTTTGGTCTTTGCCTTACCGGGTTGACCGCCGGAATGAGTATTGACGGGGGTATACATATGCATTGCATTCCTTTTCTCTCAGGTCCTCATAAATGCATTTAATCAGCCTGCAGTCACATTTTAAACGAACCAGTAGTTCTTGAGTCTCTTGTCCAATGTTTGCATTTTGCCCTAAATGCGGCACCGCTGGCCGGGGGGGGGGGAGGGGGAGCAGCAAGATACTTGCATCTGCAGCCTCCAAACTGACACCCCGCTACCGGCTCAGGTCCTCTCTCAGATCTCAGCAGATCTCCGTCCAAAATCCCACACAAATATGATACGCTCGCTTGGCCACCATCAAATTTGTATCCGCCACGTTCTGCGCGGCGACAGGCGTCTTTCCGCGCCTCCGACACGCTTGGAACGTTTCTTGGAAGTCTCGCTGGTTAAGTGCGTCAAACACCAACTGCCATTTACGCTGGATGTCCTCAACAGTGTGAAAACGGCGACCTTTCTGCTAAAAATCACCTTCGAACGCTTCTTCTCTCTTGGGAGAGAAGTCACACATATCCAAACCCAGACAGCAGGTACGTGGGAGGCGCTTCGATGATGTTGGTAAAGCCCAAAACTAGTTCATCTTGAATTCACAGTGAGCGGGCGCGACGTCATGACGGAGCACATGGTACAACATTTCCCTCAGACAGGCCCGGAGCGAGATCAAAAGCACGCTTCCGTCTTTACATTAGCGAGATTGTGCACTCTGCTTTCGTGCCCTAGTGAGACTGGCAGTGACAAATTTCACTGCACCGTTCTGGAAAAACTGAGAGAACGTTCCCCGCAAGCGGACTGCACTCAGGAACAATGACAACTAGGCGCTTAAACATTAAACATTAAACACGCCCGCCCACGGTGCGGCGGAAACGTGGGAAGCTTTGGGCCGCACCATTACCACCGTCAACGCACGCTCGCTCCACTCGTCGGACGGGCTCCCCGCGACTTCTCCATCTTCCCCACGACAGGCTCAGCCAATAGTCACCGTTTCAACGCCGTGAAAGAAATTCAGCACGAATCGCAATGGTACTTGATGCATCTAAAGAACAAAACTTTCTGGGAGCGTCGTAAGCATAGCTGAAGTCCTGGGAGTGCCGTATCGCGGCAAAACGTAACCACTCCGACGGGGGTTACAGCCAAATTTGGATAACACACGTCGTATGTTTTTATGGGCATAGTTTTGGAACTTTTAGATCGCATCTCGTACAGAACGAACTTTTGAGGAGATAAAAAAGTAAATATAAACAGCGGCTCACAAATCGCGCACACTTCAGCTCGGTGCAAGAATTTCAATTTTCTAATTCATGTTCTAAATTCGTTCACATCTATTCGCTTCAAGCTTTTCTTTGGGGTTCGGAACTTTGCCTTCGGCGCACGATTTCGTCGCTGTTTTTGGTCATTCGGCTCATCATCCGAGATCAGCCAGGTGTAAATATTTTAATAAAGTAAATATAAACAGCGGCTCACAAATCGCGCAAACATCAGCTCGGTGCAAGAATTTCAATTTTCTAAAACTTAACACAATAAATTATCTTAGTCTCAGGTGCACTACGAGTGGCACTGCAGGGTCCTGGACAGAGTGCACCGTTTCCTCACGAACCTTAACCGATTTGTGCACAGGTACCCACAGGCGGCTACCAGGTACACGTTCACAGCTTTTTGTCAACGCCAAAGGACAATACGCGTGTAAATGCGCGGCGCAGTACGGTCTAGCAAGGCCGATGATGGCTGTTCAACGACCCGGGGTCGCCGTCATTGAACGTCCCGCAACTGGTTAGCATGAGGCGTTATCAGCGCCAAACACCCGGAAGCTTACAGCTGCGCCTCAGGACATCTGGATGTCTTGCATGAGGCTGGCTGGATTACAGTCACATAATAATTTCCGGACCAGAATGTAGCCGTCCGTCTTACATGTCAGCACCAGTGAGTCATAACAGTTAAAACAGACGTGACACGGGCTAGAAGAAGAGGAAACAACAGGTAAAACGGCGCTTCACTGCTGACCATCGGAAAGAGACGTGATGGGTGCAGGATGACGGTAAGCCTACGTGTTATTAAAGACTTCTAGACAGAGGGGAAAAAGTAACTGCTTTGATTAACCCCGGCCGGAATAATTCTGCACCGCAACCGTCAAGGCATTGGTCGGCATTCTGCCGCAGTGTCACACGCAGTCGGTTGGCATGGGCAGCAAGAAAAGCTGGCGATGCGACGGATTAGAACACGGACCGTCACACTGTGGCCACCGAGGAGCGAGGATCGGACATCGAGGAGCATCACCGAACGGGCGAGGCGCGGCTGGAGCGGCCGCTCGGACGAGGCGGTACGCTGCCCTGCAATAGGACCGGGGTCAGGTCAGGTCAGGTCAGGCTAGGAGCGGGCTGTAGCGGGCACGCGCAATGCGGCAGGCCGCCCTGCAACACGGCCAGCCTCGTGCGTGCAGGCGAGGGCATCTCCGGGTTGGTCGGCTCAAATCAGATCGTGTTAACGACTAGTTACTATGGAGGCAAGGTCGCGACATAGCTTAGGTCGCAAGGCTACGTTAATCTGCGACAGAGCCACGCCACACCAAGTCCGGCGAGGTGTATGCGCCAGACCGGTCACATCAAGTGAGGCGGGTTTCGGTAGGATCCGCTAACCGCAAGTGGGCCGCCGCCACACCGCGCATCGCCGAGGCTCAGGGTCGAAACCGGCCGGCCAGAGGCATACGACAACGAAACGCACAGCCGGCTGTGGCAAAGGTGGTGTTCCCCCCGCCGCTGCGTCTCGGACTTTGAGCCATTACCGAGTGGCATTTCCCAGGGACCGCAAAAATGCTGAAAAGCCGCCTTAACACGCTGCGACGCAACCCCACGCAGCCGCGACCACATTCATGGCGCGGAAACAGTACGGCTGAGGCGCGCGCCACCGCGCCGATGAGAAGCTGGAGCAGAAGCTGCGCCCCACCGCCAGCACACCAGCCAATGCCACATGTGCGCGCGCACAAATGCCAGTATGTGTTTGTGCACTCTGGGACATCGCTCACGCCCAAATTGCTACAAAACACACTATGTAGTTATTCCGATGGTACCGACGGCGACAACAACTCGCGCGATATGTGGCATACCTGTTTTGCCTCAACTTTGATTTTCTCCGGGTCCATCAGCCCCTCGTCGTCTTCTCCCTCGACAGTGGTGGCGGCGGCGGCCGACATAGAGCCCGGCAGAGCACCGCCGCCTTCGGCAGCGAACAGCGGATACTCCGGACTGCGTTTGGCGAGCTCCTCCACCTTCTGCCAGGCCTCCTCGTGCACCCGCTGTCTCTCCCGCTCCCTGCACACAGGTGCACACGACGGCGTCAGAGTCGGTCGAATGCTGTCACATCCCTCGGCTCCCTCGCACTCACCCGAACACAGACGCAAGGTTTGAACTCACGCAATCGTAGCTTGCGATGCGCACCTGGCGTGCGGTAAGTGCAACCGCTGGCTCTGGTCATTTGCCCAGTGTGTTCGCCTCAATATCCCACCAATTCATTTTGACCAAACACAGCATGTGTGCAACTTACTTCTGTTTTTCTAGCTTGCTTTGCTGAGTACAGTCATCAAACAGCTTTTGGTTCATCTCCATGAACAGCTTCAGCGCGTTGTAGATGAGACCATGAATTGTCCTGGAGCAACAAAGCTGAATGTATACCACACAACACGACACACATAACACACATAACAGCAGTCCACGTTACCCGTACCCAGTCGTTGGCCCGGGACATGCAAGCACACATAAACAAGTTCATTCCCTGACAAATGCACGCCCACACTCGCACCAGTAAGACAACCACCTGTACGTGTAGACTTCGAGGAGGCAGGCTCTGAAGGACCCGATCGATTTATGTCGGAACTTTACATGTAACTGCCACGCAGCCCGACGACGAAAGCCTGCCTTTAACGCTAAGTTTATGCATAAGCGACGCACCCAAACACGAAATACCAGTAGCGAACATTTGAAAACATTTCATCCGTTAAGAAATACTTAATACTAGGTGCACACATTATGCTATCCTCTATAAAGTTTCAGTAAAACCCGAAACATCGGCATAGTTCACCAAAAACACTCTCGGCGACTGGAGGGCAGACACCGTTCGCATCCTCGGAAGAGCAATGGGCAATGGCCGGCGCGCGTCCAGCGCGTCCAGGGCGTCTAGGTGGCGCCACAAGCAGCTCTATCCACTTACTTGTTCCAGTGGGACTTCGAATTTTTGTACAGGACCGGGAACATGATGGGCAGGATGACGTTGGCATTTTCCGTCATCAGGGACATGATGTACTCGTTGTTCCAATAGTACAGTGCCCGCTCTGCCACCTGCATGGTGAGATGAATGCCTCGTGACCGGTCATGCCGTGACTATTTTGCGCACAGGTGGTGCAAAGAGCACGCAAAACAATAGACAGTTTGGCTCATCCCTAATGCACGTCATTGCAATCATTGGCGTTCTCGTGCCCGGCGGAAGCCTGGGCCTGCCAAAGTCTTAAGCGATAAGACTGAGTAAAGCCGCTTCTCTCCGAGATCTAACACCCTACGCATTCTCCATGCGGCTAACACTGTTTGAACGTCGTCGATGCGCTGCAGGCGTTACAAATCGCGACACGGAGGACACTGGAGCTGGGACTGGTTCTATGCAAACAGTAAAACTGCTCTGTCTGCTTAGACACGCGGCATTAAAGACCTCGCTAGACGGCACTGCTCACGGATCAGTGGGAAACTGGCACAGGTCAAACCACTACAAAGATGGGTCGATGCACAAAGGACTTTGGTTCGATTGTACGTATTGCTATGCGGTGCCTGAAACATTAAAACTGCCTGACATTGTTCACCTGCTCGAGGCTACACTTATCTGCTGCAGAGACCGCACTGTTCTAAAAAGCAAAACAAAAAACTATGAGGCAGCACAGCGTATGCCCATCATCAGTCCTCTTACTCTAGAGGATGAATTGCATTAATAAGGTTATAAAACACGCAGAATGACGGGGCGTTCGCCAAATTTCACTATGGGCCGCACAACCACTCCAATAACCACTGCAACCAAGTTAACCGCGCTACAAGCTCGCAAAGTTATTGGCAAGGCGTGGAACGTTTTGGAATGTTTTCATTTTGCAAGGCATAGAACGTTTTGGCATATTTCCATCTATTTTTACGTGTCCACCGCAGAACCTTCACTGGCGACATCTATCCATGAGAGTATTGCCACGTGTCATGCATCTAATAAGGGGGAACGTGACGTCGGCGGAGAGTATCCGTATACGCCAGTGGATCAATACCGTTACAACGTCCTGGTGATCATAGCATAGCAAGCTGCAGGCCGCGTCAAGCCGCAGAGAAACTGTCATCTTCCAGCAAGAAATAGGACTATAACGCGTTGCTTGGCAACCAAACAGCTGCTGCGTCGGGTTCCGCCTAATTTCTCCCTCAGTCTACAATGATGCCGCTGGAAGCTGTTTGATTTATTCGAGCCCTATTCGAGCCATGCCCGGACATCACAAAATATGTGTTCCTTTATGTGGTCACTCCGAGATCGGTGAGAAAAAAGCTTTCGTTGCAACATGCAAACTATTGATGGGCGTATACAGGATTTCACAGTGTGGGATACACATCACTTACTTTCTTAGTAGCCAACCTTTTAGGGTGCCGCAATTGCACAAATTAATTGAATGGCGAAGGGCGTCGCATGTTTTCAATAACTTATTTCTACGCAGGTACATCGAGCTTTTCATTATCGTAATTCATTAACGGGCATATTAATGCACGAGACCATTCGATGGCGGGGATGTGTTCCCAACGCCCACTGAATACGCCCCTAAAAGCATCGCGTGTGTGGGGGAGGGGAAGCAGCCGTCCAAGAAGCCTTCATACGCCTTTTGTCACAGTCGTGAAGTGCGACCGTCCCAGAGCACCAGGAGGCAAACAAGGACTGATCGGGTCGATGTTAGGTTTCCTTTACTTCGACTTCATAACTCGGCATACATCCCAATATCGGCTTTAAGTCCGCCCTCTCCACTCTACTACTCTGGCCCTAACTCCATCATAAAAACCAATCGCGTTGCAGAAACTATTGCGCAGCATATATTATCTATCTATAAATGCCCTATATCAATATCAATATCATACCCCAGTATCTTTCAAGATCTATTATTTGCTTAGTTTGATTTAAGGCTGGTTTGATAATGTTCAATTAACCATATAACTAATATTATTTTTAGCTAAGATCAGTGCACACCCAAACCTGTGCCATCATGCATGCTAAATTAATCCTTGCGCCAAATGGCTCGCCTCTTCGTCGGTGGAACTCTGACATGTGGCTGCGCGGCAGGCCGGGGTCGGGGTCGGAAGGTGTACGTTGAGTCTCAAACACAACCTTCCATGTCATTACGTCAATGCTGCAATATCTCATGAAACACACGAGTTTAAAGACCTGCCACTGTTTCCCTCCGGAACAACAGGCTCTACCATAACTTCCCACAAATAAGAAAACTGACTTCTATTTAACGTCGTAACTTGCTTTCCAGTACATCACCACCACGTTTATGTCCTACGTAGCTCATTGTGAGGGCTATCCTTGTTCAAACGCCGTAATGACTAGTGTACTGCTAATTTCCTCGAGGCGTTGTTCGATCGGGGCGGTCCAGGGGCGGTCCAAGGGCGGTCGGGTGGACTGTCCTACGGGGGGCAGGGCGGAGCTTCACTCGATGAACGTAGCCCGCACCTGGAAGTGGGGAGAAGCCACGCAGGCGGCGATCTGCTGGAAGAGCGGCTTGATGACTCTCTGGAATTCTGCCGGCTCCATCACGTCCAGGATCTCCTCCAGCTCGTTGAGGAACATCACCTCCTTGGGGCTGTGCGTCTTGGGCCAGTACTTGAGCAGCGCCATAATCACCGGCTCCGTGAGTGACGGATCTTTCTCCAAAAACTGGTGGCAAAACGGGCATCCATATCACATAAGCTCCCAGAGGCTTGCAAGTAAACATGATTTAGATGACAATTTGATCATCTGACTGATATGCCACATGCGACTGGCGTCCTAGAAACGACACATACATCTAAATATCGATCTCTTTGATGTGATGTTACGGTTCCATTATACCTAATGTTTACCATACACAACCGAGACCTGAATACCACACATATTATTGCTTCAATGCAAGCAGGTAATGACGAAGACTGCCATGTACAAATTTACCATGCATACTGCAGGGATCAATACCACCTCTTTGCACAGGAATGGTCTTACTTTTCCACTGTGAAAAACAATTCGGTCGATGCGTAGAGCTGTACATACACCCAACGGTAGGTACAGCTCTGTACCTGCCGCTTGGTATGGACGGCGATCGCAGTAGCAAACCAATACAGCAGGCACTGGCACGGGGCCAAAATTGGGACCGATGATCGTAACGCCATCGATCTAGAAATGGCGATAGCCACATGCACCACACGAGCACCTTTACCACTTGTGAGGTTAGATAGGGCACGGTTAGATAGCCCGTGTCAAGATCTGTTCAACAAATCTTGAATACTTATGTCCTGACGTTATGTCATCAATCGGAGGAAGCCAAACGCCACATGTTGCACGCACCCACAGGTCACACTACGCAAGGACTTTCTCTTTCATGGTGTGTGTTTGCATCCTCCGTGTCAGAGACGAAAACGCTTACGTAGCTTTCAAGGATGCCAATTCAGCGGCCCTAAAGGTAGAGACTGCAACTGGGCGCGAGCGCCCGCACACGGGAAGTTAAAACTATCGGATCATAAAACAGCTGGTCCTTGACGGACAGGCATGAACAATTCTACAACAGATCACCAAAGCCTGCCCACCCTGGCCTCTCCGATTTCGATAAAAGTTCGCCCGCGGCCTTATCTAGGTACCGTGTGGGCTTTAACTTCCTACGTCACGGAGATCACAAGATAAAGGCCACCATAGTCGTAATCATGTGGGAAGTTGGACCAGAAAATAATGTTTGTGTCTAATGGTCCCATACCTGATGAAAGCAGCAAGTTAATTGGAAGCAGATTCTTTGCTACATCCATTAACAATCAACTACCACCACTTCCAGCCTTTTCTTACCAACGTGACCTGGTGACCTTTTATTATATGATGACCTTTCCAACAAGCCCTACGAGGAACCCCATGTTTCCACTGGAAGACATCCAGTACAGTCTGAGTAATGGCATACAGTTTTCTTGGTAACTCCAATCCGGCGATATTTCTCCGAGGTGAACGGTGAGGTCATGTCATGTCCTATAAATGTTGTTTTGGGTGCACAACATACCCCACGTTGATCATTGAAAGGCCGTCGCCTTATCATTATCTTGGCGATACCTTCGAGCACGTGGAGATCACATGGGTCACGTGTCAGTCCGTGATCTAGCCTTGAACGGCCGCTACAGGTAAGATGCATCTAGTCGACACAGATATCACTGTGCTGGCCCCCCTAAGCCTTCCAAAATACGCGCAAAGTTGGGCGATTTCAGGATCACAGGTGCACAGCCGGCTACATTAATTTGTCACCAATAACTGTAAGTCTTGCCATGTAGTCTAGCAAAGTAGGCTATCGTATTCTTGCGCGTTATATGAGCAACGTACAGGTACGGAAGATTTTCCTTCCTTCCAAAGCAGAGACGCAAACGTTTTCATATACATCCCACCCAGAACCGACCCGGCCAGCGGCAGAGCGAGCAATTTATCTGCCTAGTCCCGGCGCGTCCGTACCTTGATAACATGCCAGGTGTGCAGACGGTACTAGCCTTATACCGCGCCAGAACTATCACTGACCGTGGAGCTAAGACGCCATAAGTTGTTAAGTCTATTCTCAGCTCTTTTGGACCTCATTTATTCCACACCTATCAATTGCTTCTCAAATGTCACTGTCACACTGTTTCCACACCATCACATCGCCCGGCAACAATGTCTCACCTATGAACGCTGGCCAAGGTGGGGCCACTGACCAATACGCGACCTTCATGACCTCTCACAGGCTTCGGAATACCGGCAATGCACTTGTTGGGAGACGAGCTTTCAAATGGCACTAATATCGGCTGTGCCCGACGTTACACGTCATCGCCATCAACGTCAACATTTACCGTACCTGCACGACGCAGTAGGCGAGCTGCGGGTGGTAGACTGAGAGCGACTTGACCTTGTGCAGTGGCATCAGCACCTTCAGCAAGAAAGCTTTATGCTCTTCTTTGAGCGGCAGCGCGAAGCCGTTGATAATGCTGCCCAGAATCTCCAGCAGTTCAGCAACACCGTTGTGGTGTTCTGTCTCGTAAATGAACCTGACAGAGGAGATTCGTGTCAGCATACGGAGTGCGACCTGTCTGGACATGGTAGTCCTGACGCGCATTAGCCCTGCGCATTGACCATTTCAGAAAGCGTTCATAATTTCAGTGATTTGACACAACCCTGCCATCATGAGATCTTACAAGCACCCACCACACTTAGCAGCATGGAGCGTAGAGAATGAGGTTGCGTGAATTTGATCACTTTATTTTTATTTTTTGTACGCATGTGCCTTCTGTTAGTCGCTCAAACATCCACTTTTGACACTTGCAACATACGCTTTCCTTAAGGATTCACCACTATAACCTCACGTTCACTGAAATTGTTGTTTCTTTGCCTCCCACTGCACCTGCCAACAAGTCCTTCCTTACCGGTGCCGCCATGGAAGGTCCTTTTCAACCTGATAAGCCCTCAGCATCCACAAACACAGGTGGGCCCCCCTCTGGCTCGCTGATTCCCCACATCTCAGGAAGATACCAAAGTCTGTACAAGGAAAAACTTCTGCAACTCTGGCAGCTGCATCTCTGACTGACAGCATTTTAAGGGAGACCCCTATGGTTGGATAGTCAGAATTCTAACAGCGTTGCTATTACCTTGAAATCTAGTGGAGTGTTGCGAGATCTTGGGGTGGCTGATGAGTGCACCATCCATAATGGATAACCCTACTATTTGCAATCATAAACACATGGCTTCAGCACCCAGACGCCGACTTGTGAAATGTAAGACAATCATCTGTAACTGACTGGCAAGCTTTCTTAAGTGATTCAGGACATCCTGACTGTTTGACGTGTCTGTAGTGTGTGACTTTTTAACTGTTTTACCGCAAATATTGACCATCTTCCAGGCGACAGTTTCAGTTGCCAGCCACTCACTTCTAGGTTGTAGGGAATGATCCTAAACACACAGGAAACCTTTATTAGCTGCAATGGTGGTATGGGGCATGCTGTTTGATTTGCCTGTGGTGTGTGATTTTCGTGTGGTGTGAAAGTAGAAGTGTGTTAGTTATCCTAATCATTGTGGGATAGTTTCAGCCGTCAGACACTTACTCCTAGGCTGAAATCGACGGTCTTCAGCTAGCAGTTAAGCTTTATTAGTCGCAGTCGTGGTATCTGGGGATGCTGATTGTTTTACTTGCCTGCGGTGTGTTATATTTATATGGTGCGAGAGCAAAAATATGTGAGCTATCCTGTGTGATCGTTGTAGCTGTCTGACGTTTACTTCGAAACTGTGGGCAATTGATCTATAACTAGCAGCTAAGCCTCGTTCGTTGCACAGGCAGCACCAGGGCATGACGATTGTTGGACTCGCCTGTGGTGTGCGACTTAATACACATGAAAGCAAAAAAAAAAAGGTGAGCCGCTTCTTCCAACTGAATATCTGAGTTATTCAGAAACATTTCGCGAAAGCTGGCATAACCGACCAAATCGAGCGCGTATAGTTCTTTTCTCAAAGAGGGACGCGACGCGCCTGTTTTTTATGGAGCGCCAGCGACTGCACTGGCCATGTTAGCGATCAGGGACCATGGCGGAACCTGGATTCGCTCCGGCCCCGTCGCGCGACAGTCCGGCGCGCCAACCACTGGGCCACTGCCGTCAGGCGACTGTCACTCCACTTTTTGAAATTCGGATATTCATTTGTCCCACGTCCTTTTGAGATGACGTTGCGGTGACTGTTCCCGCAAAAATAACCACTACCACAGTCAACGGAAGTACGACCACTCACGCAACAACATGAGAAAGTCAGCTAGTTATCAGCGCACACCGAAGGTCATTGGCCGTCTCGACCACAGCCGCAAACAACATAAGGAAGTCAGCTATTATCAGCGCACACCGAAGGTAATGGCCGGCTCGACCACAGCCGCGAACAATGCTACCTCGAAAAGTGAAGCAATAGCAGTCGTGGCATCTAGCATGTGATATGATATTTTTTGGTGTTGTGGCATTTAACATTTCATCATGGCATTGGGTAAAGGCATCTCATCCCATTTACAATTGAGCTGGCTGAGCAAAGATACGTTAAGCTGACAGAAAAAAGACACGGTCTGATCGTTTCTCCATGCCGCGAACTGCTCACCAAACGTTAAGAGACCAGGAGCGCAAAATCCATCAGACAAGGAACGCGACAAAAGGTAAACACGACACCGGACGAATCCAGACTTGTACTCACCTATAAAATATGTTGTTGATCTGTTTTCGGATGTACGCGCGGAGTCCCAGGAACTTGCCGTAAATACGATGCAGCGTTGTCTTCAAAAAGTCCCTTTCCCTTGGGTCCTCTGAGTCGAATGAGTCCAGAAGCTGATAAGAAGCAGGACATAATGTTGTCAATTCGACTTAAGCCATTTCCCACGTTCAATACTACAAGGAAACATTCACCCGAGGCTAGCGCTAATTTGTGGCACGCGTCCGCCCAGGTTAATGAGCCCTCTGAGGCACCCAGCGCGCACGAGTATGACTGTGCCACCGGCGAGCCGAACTGGGCTGCCACACGCGACCGCGCGGCCTGACAAGCGAGCTCAAGCCGTGGGCATGGCCAGTTGAAAGACACAGGTAACAAGCATGGCTCGTCTGTACGAAGAACTATGGAATAGGGAAGGAAAAAGATAGCGGAAGAGCATGTGACAGAAGCATATGACTTAACAGGAAGACGAAAAACACATCACAATGAGGCGGATAAATATTAATAGAGGGCACGAAAGGAGGGATGCCGAAGGTGAGACAGACGAAATGGAGTCGGGGAAGGAGGGAGGCAGAAAACATGGTGGAGAAGGTGATGTGGAAAAGAGAAGGGAACACCACTGTCGATCACCAGGATACGAGCGATAGTGCTGTATATTTTCCGGGTCTCATGTAGTGCACATATACTCAAATGAAACTTCAGAATAGGCTGAGTCCCTATTGTTCTAAAGGCCTTCTAAGCACGACTGGGTGTGGCCATATAGGTGCAGTAGGCTAGGTCACCGTCGGGACATTTCTGGTAGGTCGAACTTTCAGCGGCTCCGCACAGACGCGTGGCGTCACTCGAACTTGTTACGGTCGTCACTGAGGCGCCGCCAGCAGGGCATTTAAAATTGTATCGACAGAACGTGGCGGTCATAACTAATCTAGACAACAAATATAAATATCATAAAATGTGTGTTCCGCTTACCAAGTTGTAATTGTGGTAAGGCACTCTCAGCTTGTGGTGCGCCAACTCGCGCCCCATGTGGGCCTCCAACGACGTCGACACATTAAATTGACGGGGCATATTCACCAGATGTTTTCGCCGGGTTAGCCCTTTTAAGCGACCTTGGTGACACTTAACCAACCAAAGCATAGTTACATTCCACAGAATAGCGATAACGTCCTGCAACACGACGTTACCCCGTGGCGTAAGCCGGAGGTGTATGTGAGCTTTCCTGTACTTTGACATTGGCTGTTATCAAGCACTTGAATCTCTCCAAACAGCAGCTGTAGAGGCAAATGAATTTTCGATGCACATCAGACCCTCAACCATCACGATACTCTGCTCTGTCAAGACAAGAATTTCTAAAATGCAATCGCCATGACTGCATGTCAGCTGCAGGTCCATGGCATAGCCAAATCCCACGCTTATGACTGCCTATGACGAACTGGTATAAACACAACCGCAAACATCTCGTCACTTGGTGTTATCTGGCGTGTTCATCCCTCCCCAAAAAATACCCATTTCCTTCGTCCGTTGGATGGCTTTCAGCATTGCCTCAAATTTCGGATGCTCCAAACCTTGCTGTTTTGAAGAAAAAAACAATGTGCTCCTGAAGGTCGAAGGCAATGAGGTCCGACTAATGAGATCGCACTGCAACCCCTCTGTGTCTAGTGCTTGCTTCAGCTGAATAAAATTTTCTGGATTTTAAGCTTCAACAGCACCACAGTTCCATCCTTCAATTTAGGTTTCCTCAAACTATTGGGACTTCAACTTGTTATCCTACACCATTTCTAGTGCGGAAAAAACAAGGAACTGCAAAATTATCGGCGTCATTCAGTAATCGAATTATTCCGTGTTTAGGCAAGACCTTCATGCATTAAGAACAGGTTCCAGCTGGTCAAAATGTCCCGGTTGCCGCCTTTAACCAGTCACCTTTCGAACGCTGTTCCTGGATGGCAATACCACATATGCGGCGAGCAACGCAAATGGCTGCACAACCCTCTCCGAGATAGCTGCGGTGGCGCAAAGCAGAGAGAAAACAGCAGACTGACGCGCCATGGCACACTGACGTCGGCGCGCGTAACTCCACGCTTCAATTACAGCGCTGCATTCAGAGTACCCACCCCAGCCTACGCAAACGCTATCTTACCGCATCTCGTTCTAGTGAGCAAGACAAATTGATACACCCCCCTTCCCCTCCAAACACACAATGAAACATAGCCAGCATCCTCACGGACCTTTAAGCTGCCCAGCATAAGCCAAAGCACGAGCGATAACAGTCCGAAGAGACACACTCGAAACGGCTCAGACCCGGATCTCACCTGAAGCACAAACTTTTGGTCAATGTAGCGCTTGGCCACGTTGGCTTGGAAGTCAGCTGACTCGAGGAAGCGCAACAGGAACTCGTATATGAGCTGAAGATGAGGCCAGGCCGCCTCCAGCGTCGGCTCGTCCTCCTCCGGATCAAACTCGGCACCGGACGGGTTGGACGACGGCGGCAGCGTCCGGAACAGGTTCATCGTCACCTGGCCGGCCGATCGCGCTGTGTCATGTATTCAGACACAACGCAAGCATCACACGCCGGCAACGCATCGTGTGGACTATGGGGTGACATGTAGCGAAAGAAAACAAGTCAAATGCAGGTGTGTAGATTCCTACTCCATTGAAGGGACATTCAGCCCCCCGCATCTTTAAGAAAGAGGTAGACCAAGAAGTGGGCCATCGGTGCTGTGTGGAGTAAGGCGGGATTTGAGGATCACTTAATTAAAGGATCAGCCATCGCGGACCATGCTTAAGTATGTACGGTATGTAAGCACTGCATAATCAACACAGATGCGACCACGGTAACGGAGTTTGTTTTGTCACGTCAGCATCAAGGATGCCACCAAACGTTTTTAACATATTTCGAGAACTTTCGGTAGAAAGACAACTGGCGTCACCTCAGTCAATAAAAACATTATCTTGCTAACATCCGGGCAACAACGACTTTATCAAAATATGCGTTTTCATAAAGTTGATTTCAAGTATCTGCAAAACCTTTCTCGCCAAAAATCGCCCACAAAAGCTGTGTGCTTAAAACAATAACAGACAAAAACTAATATTCAAACAACTTTGCACATCAGTACATTGTGGAAGAGTACTTTGAAATCAATATACCTCACAAATTCAAGGGGAGCTTTCTGAAACAGACAACCTTTAAACAAAGACAAAATCTGGGAAAATACGCACAGTTGAAGCCACTGAAATGTTGATAACTTGTGTTGATTTGCCTTGAGCCAAAATCCAGCCAGTCACTGTGGCTATTCAACGAGCAACAATCCTGAGATGATGCGCAGAGGTGCTGAACGCCGGCTCACCATCTGGACGACCTCCGGGTAGATGTTCTCGGTGATGACGCCGCGCTGCGTGGTGACGTACTCGATCATCTCCTGCAGCGCCTGCCGCTTCACCTCCTTCCACTTCAGGTCGGAGAGGGGGTCCGAGATGAAGTCGAACAGCACGCAACACTGGCGGATCTTTTGAATGAACAGCTCTTCCCGCTCGCCCGCCGCCACCTCTGTAACGCACGTGCACACACGCACACAAACATTAATGAACATCGCCACAACGTAGGCATTCCGTATGCGAACAACATATGTGAATGACAGGGTAAAGGGCAATAGCTGCTAGCGTAGGAGGACATGACATGGTTTTCGACAGACTTGGTATTAGTCGTCATCAACACGTTACGAAATGCAGTGTGAAAGCTTTTCTATAACATGATTTTGGGTTGAATCTTTACATAGGTCTTCGGACGTTTCGGATAAAACGCTCGATCGGACGATAGGTCTTATTGTATAGAAAACGTTCAACTATGTCATATTTTGACGAACGCGTCCATCGCATTTGGGCAACAACATAAGAGCATCGGGCATAACGGAAAGAAATACATGATAACAAAACTCGTTTGCCAAGCCGGCCATTAAAAATGCCACGAGAAGCCACACAAATATTTGTTTGTGTGCTTCGCAACACCTCATGCTTAAGAAATCTGCAAAATAAAATCATTCTCCAAATCTGAATAAAATCACAAAGATCTTCAAGGGATAAGCCACCAAAGCCTTTCAGATCCATCACGGAAATTGCATCCCTTTGCCATCCAACAAGAGTTCAAAGCTCTGTGCTGGCAGAGTGAAGATCGCGAAGCAACTCTGCTCAGGCACCCTGCTGGCACCCGCCTCAAAGGAGAAGCAGAGCATAGCCCTGCTCAAATTCACCTGATTTTTTAACTGAGCCGCAACAGAAGTTATGGCCGCCAGTCTGAACATCGCTGCAGCCGTCATGTACCGATTTGTGTATCATTGGCCCGTGGTTTTTATTGTTTATTTCAATTTCCATACTCGCATACGGAGCTTTTCTAGTTTTTTTTTTCTATTTTCATTCACACTTCCGTCATAACTCGCACCACTACCCACATTCCTGCACTGCATAGCACAAAATGTGATTGTGTTCGAAACTTGCACTCAACGCATCAAAATGGTCGCCGGCTGACTGGCGACCGCTGATGCCCCGAATCAAACTTACGCACGCCAGACATGACAATTTCGATCTTCGCATTTGTTCTTGGCGTTGAGCACCACGTGGCCAATGAGGTGGCGGTATTTGCGTGGCTTTCGATGGCATGAATGCCCGGGTGACTTGAAAAAGTTGTCTTTACATTGCACCTTGCACAAAGCGCACACCACTGAAACGCCACATGAACCGCACTTAAGTTAAGACTGAGCTTCGCTGTGAGCTTACCTCATGTCTGATAATTGTTTCCATATCTTCAAATGTGGAGCATTCCCTTTAAGCTATTTGGTTCCCAGTCTCATGCCCACCATAACTAGCAAGACAACTCAAATGCCAAATTCATATAATAAAACGCGGTTCGCGTTCTACATAACTAGCAAGACTGCTCAAATGCCAAATTCATATAATAAAACGCGGTTCGCGTTCTATGTTAATTGGTTGAAAGAATAGAAATGTGTTGAACTGTTGAAGGCAAACTGCTGGCCGCTGATGCACCGATTCGCGCTGACGTACTCCAGACACGAACAAGTCATTAGTCATATGTTCCTTGCCCCCTGTAGTAGTCGTTGCGCCATAATTTATGTGGCCTATCTGTGACGTCATACATCTCAGAGTGACTTCAAAATAGACGACGCGAAAGTCTGCGCAAGTATGTAAACGCCTAGCTCAGAAGCGGGATAAGTTGAAGTCTAAAAAGGACAATAATGTAAACTACAGGGGATGCTACTAAAAATGCGCATCTCAATTCAACTCAAACCCCATACGAATAAACCGCCTCTCACACAGACCTGCAAAACCTTCCCAGCTCGCTGTGATCGGCACTGACCTTTGAAGCTCGCAGCTTTCCCAGCTCCCTGTGATCGGCACTGACCTTTGAAGCTCGGCAGCTTTCCCAGCTCCCTGTGATCGGCACTGACCTTTGAAGCTCGGCAGCTTTCCCAGCTCCCTGTGATCGGCACTGACCTTTGAAGCTCGGCAGCTTTTCCAGCTCCCTGTTCCGCGGCAGGTTGAAACGGGACGAGCTCTGTCGCCGGTCCTTGCGAATCATCGGACTGGCACCATACGGCACCTTGCTCAGCGCCGTGGGAGGCGGCGCGCCTGCCGGTCCGGCCGCCGCCCGCTGGCTGGAGCCCTGATGGCCGAGAAGAGGGCGCGGCTCAGACACCTCTCGACGCCCAGGCCGTGCCACCCGACGCAGACCGCAATGACGGGTGGTCGGATCGGGTCCCAGCGACGGTCACACTGGTCACAACGGGTCACACTGAGCTTCGGATACCGCCCAACGCCATGGCTGCATCGAAACGGAGCCGTGAGCTGTTTCAGCTCGGACAATACGCCGCATATTCGATGCAGAACCGATTTAGTTTTTGGTAGGTCGTGGGATGCTACGCATCAGGACATGCCGTTCTCACGCTAAAAAACTGGCCCGCGCGCGATTATCGAATTGCACGTCGCATGTTTGAAGGTGAAGGATAGTGCCTTTAAAATGCTTAAAAGCCGTTCAGGTGGTGAGCGTCGAACCCGTGACTACGTTGGGGGCACTAGCCCGCTAAACGTGGGCACCCAAAGGGCTCGCGTCCCTGTCATTTACAAGTCGAACCCTTTGGAGCGAAAGCAGTTCTGGGCTGAGCTTATGCCAAGCAGTGCTTGTTATGTCCGTCCGAGCCCCCGTGTCCGATCGTAAAATTCCAGCTCAACAGCAGGATTTCGCGGCGTTAATGGTGCATTGCTTCCACCGCTAGCTCCTCCCTTGGCATTGGCCACCTGTTGCTCAGCCAGAAGATGTCGCTACTGTGGGACAGCTTGGCCATATCAAACCTCACTGGGTCACCCTTCGAAGAGGCATTCGATTACATGCCGATCGGCCTGGAGCGTGGACCGAATTCCTCCACCTGAGGACGAGTGAACACAACCCTCCCGTTCGCACCCGGTGTGAATTTCCCAGGAACATTTTCCACGTAACTACGAACGCAGCCGACGCCTCTTGGATGCTCTTTGAACCACAAAAAATTAATTCACAAATACAGAAATGGCAACCAACCGGTGTATTTGCCAGTTGTTCTTTGTCAGGCACAACATCACAAATGGGTTTTTGAACGGGTCTGACGGTTCCCTTTTTATTAGTTTGATGTCTACCAACGTATCACAACAAAACCCCGAACTTCATGTTCATCAGCGTATCCCAGCACAATAATTCACACGTCACGTATTACAACAAAATTACCCCCACGCTACACATTACAACATTATTCCCACGTTGAAACCTGCCGTGGTAGATCGTCAAGATAAAGGTCAAATACAATGCGAGTTCCCTGCGCCTCTTTACTATCAGTAAGTGTGCGCAATATGGTGACTTAGATTTAGGCCATGGAATGAAATTTTGCTTAGCGACAAAGCCGCTGTCCCCTGTATATTATAGCGCAGGCAGGGGGCACAGAGGCACGTGTCCTTTCCTCCAGTCCCCCTCTAGGTCTCGAAGGGCCCGAAAAGCCCCTCGAGATTGACGACACAGAGCCTCATTTAAGGGCCCGAAGTCTCACCGGAGTTGTGTAAAGGGTGCTGGCCCGCATGACCGGCCCTTAAATGTCGGTCAAAAGGCGCTTCGCGCCGATCGGGGCGCTTTAAGCAGACGAAGGCCTCTACGTCGATCAGTACAACGAACCGCCAGTGTCGAACAGTCTGCTCCGTGTCGGTCTGAGCACTGGAGCCAATTTCTCAGGAGCGGACATTTCCCACGGAACCCCCTGGGTCGATGAGGGCTTCTCCATCAGTCATGCACCACCAGCACCGAACAGTCAGCTCCGTGTCCTTCTGAGCCAGACGACCCATTTCCCAACCAGGGACAAGAACAGGGCCCGCGATTTGCATTGGTCAGGACCCTGAGTCAATGAGAGCCCAGGCTGTCTGCCCATCATTGGATTTCTGCGGCGATAAGGGATCTATTTGCGTCAGTGGCGGGCCCCGTGTTAATACAACATGTAGGGAATGGCATTTCGTGGCTCAAACATGAAAACCACACCGTGTGAGTTGAAAAGCATGAAAATCCCACATTAAAGCCCTCGAGCTTTTGGGCCAAAACAAAACTATCGTCGCTCCCACCCTCAGCTACCGTCAGATTTAGCTCCCACACAACTCTTTTCTCGTCTCTGTAAAACAACATTTCAAATTAAACACGCGCTCGGTGGGGGTCAAATTGACCCCCAAAGGTTTTTCCAGAATAGTTTCCGAACGGTGCGGCGTAGCCGCGCCACATTTTGCATAACTGTAGACAATTAAATAGCGAGTCGTTCTGGGCAGCAACAATTTTGGTGTACCTTGTAAAATTGCTGACCTTGAAGGATTTTCATGCATGCAAGTCCGAAGTCAGACCATTATTTCAGCGAAGGCGATTTCTAGGGAATCGTTCAATCTGATCCAACAGCGGAGTGCTAGACGAAGCTATACATCGCTGAGATACTTTCTTCGGCAACCCACAATTGAATGAACAAATCACCACTGACCTAGCTCAGTTACGAAGGTCAGACCAGGCTCAAAATCAACCTGCTTTATTACTCTGGGGCTTCCTGTGTGGACTCGTTTCTGGTGCTCATTTCGATTTTATTGATAACAGGAACCACATTATACACCTTCCGAGACTTTTTTAAGGTCAGAATAGGCCACAGACCTAGAATGACCCAGTTCACATTTTGTTTTTGGGAACATACTGCCTAGCGTAGTCTATGTCGCTTATCCAAATGCAAGAGTCAAAGCGGTCTTGAATGATTTTGGTCACCATGAGCTTCAAAAGGTCAAACGAGGACAATGACCCTTGCTTGAGCATGTGGACTTCTGCATAGAACAGCTATCTGGGTTCCAGTGGCCCTTTTGAGACCAACCAGTAATTTGATCTTGTTTGACTTTATTTGACCAGGCCATGGCCTAGGAGCCTCAAACTTTGACCTAAGTGAGTTCACGTACAGGTCAACACACCCTGTGAATTTGGTGTCTCTAGCTCTTTTAGTTCCTGAGATCTCAAGCGCGGGGGGGGTCAAATTGACCGCCCCCCCCGACCCGAGCGAAGGGCTTCCAACCGGCCACCCGGGCAAGTGTTAAGGTCCAGCGTTGTGACACGCCCCGCGCGAATCGCAAACGATTGGGAAACTTACGGAACGGGGCTTCCAGGGATCGTTTCAAGCGGGGGGGAGCGGAAATTCGCTATACAAGGTGACTTTTCGAAGGGGATGGCGCCAAATTTCGATGATGCACGTTTCGTTCTTTTTACAGGCGTAGTCTCCGACGCTTGTGAATCGTAACTGCTATCCTAATCTGTACCTTAAAACATACGAACACTCATTTAGCTGCGTTCAGGGAATGGATTACGTCAGAGCTTTTGCATCATGCACAGCTAATACACTTTCCAACTAAGCAATGTTCGTCAGATTGCGATAATTATCAGCCCAATACAGTGTGCATTGCCTTACATCATCATTTAAGGATGGCGTTGCTTCCTCTTTGGCCTTCTTGCTGGAGTCCTGAAACAAACGTATATCCAGTGAATTCAACATAAATTCGTTCATTTTGTGTTGTACCAGAAATCAAATCGAAACGCCATAGATCAAGCCGCCAAAATAAAGAAAGTGATGGAAAGTGTCGTGACAAAGCAGAGCATTAGTCAGCTTGGCTCTTCACCACAAAAGTCGCACGCCTCATCGTGCGAACTGCAGGGCCGTTGATTTGAGTAAATGCGAGAACCGAGGGCCCCACAGCTAATCTCCCACAAATGTGGTTCTCAACGGATGTATGAAGTCCACACAGCGCTGATGAACGACGATGTTAACGTGTAGTTTGTTTTTGCATTACTTGTCAAACATTTTTATTTGAGCAACATGCTACAGTCTGCATGGTTGCGACGCAAGAACAAGGCATCAAAATTAATTCGTTATGCTCCAGAGATGCATCTGTGCAGTGCGCAAAACAATAAGAGTGCTGCTCACAGATTTTGTAACAATGCACCAAAACATTAAGTGAAGAACCAACAGGTGATATGTTAGTGTGGGATGATGATTAGTGGTGGATGCCGCGCCAGCACGGAAACGGCACGTCTTCTAGTGTCTGTATGGTTACGACAAAATTTGTTGATTAGGGTTCAACATTGCATGCATTCGATGCACTTATATATACGTGTCTGTTCTTTATATTTTCGCTATGAACACGTGTGCGCAAGCAAGCATGATCAAGCACATAAAACATTTTTCATACGAGGAAGCAAGTGTCCTATCCTTGAATGCGTCACCGGCTTATACCATGTCAGTAGCAAGTACAATTAAAATATTAGTTTGCATCTACCCGAGGGATTTTGCAAACCCCCTCGGGCGTTTGCGAATTCCCTGACCATCCAGGTGACTTGTCAACTCATTATACGCAAACTCCGGGGTAGATCAGGGGGTATTCACTGGTTATCTCGCATTTCCGAATTTTTCACTCACTGATAAACATGCACGGCCCATGGGCCCATGCATTCAATGCGGCGAGTCAATTTCTCGTCCTGAACTTGTTATAACTTCTGTTTACGGCGTAAACATGCAGATGCATTATATCTATTCCCCAACCCTCCGACCACACCCAACCCATACGAAACTCATCCAGATCGTCGTTTATAATATACATATATATATATATATATATATATATATATCGTATATATATATATATATATATATATATATATACGCCAAACGGAAGCAGCCTTTTCTGGGGAAACAATGTAACGTTTCAAAAAGTGCGATGAATGCTATCGCGCACTTCCTGCGGAAACCGCCGACGCTGTGCCGCCCATCTCTAACATGTCAACACAAGCTCATTTACGGAGTGCATCATACGCACTTTGGTCTGCTGACAGATCTTTATTCCCCAAAATGAGTGTTCTACATTAGTACGGGGTTTTGAACTGAAATAGCCATTTTGAAGGCCTTTCAGTGTTGTTCACGATCCTGCCCTTCTTAAGACCTAAGCCCCTCTGTTTCTGAGCTACACATCCGCGAAAATGGGGAAAGTATAACTGGGAAAGTATTTCGAAGTCACACTGGTATTCATGTTCGCAAGCGCGATTTCCAGATATAGCGGCCGTCAAGTGGCTTTCAATCAATGCTGTGCAAGGTACAGTGACGCAATGAAACCATGATGCATTGAAGAACGTATTTACTAGACAGATAATTACGCTGTCTTGAGCAGTCTTTTCCACTTAAAAAGTATACCAAAGGTTATAAGTGAGCTTGTTTCATCATATCTGATAATTGCTTCGACATCTTGAAACGCGAAACATTTCCTTTTAGTGATGCATCGCCTTTACATTCGCATTTATGCATTGCACCAATATCCTCTCTTGTTTGGGGGCTGATAGCAACCTCTCTTCTCCTGAGGTGACCAAGGTGAGAAGGAATTCGGTGACCTCTAAGGAAATCGCACCGATTCTTCAGCATCTGCCTCATTGACATTTCACGCGGCCCGTACATTTTTTCAGCACTTTTGTCTAAAAAGGCAGTAACCTATAACCTGTTTGTCAAGGTCCGGTCGGCTGGGTTTCTCGCCTCCGCGACAATACAGCTCACTAGATGGCACTTGAGAAGTGTAACTGTTTGCTCTACAAATATAATTGTCTTCGTCACAAGTGAGGCCAAGCCTGCTTGTGTATTAGAGTCAGGGGTCAGCTCCTCAAAGGACTGAATCACGATGAAGAGGTAGATGTCATCTAGTCAAAGAGTAGTGAATCATTGGAATGAATTTTAACCTGAAGTTGTGGGTAGTCACTCAACAGCAACATTTAAGAAATGTTTGGACAAGTTCTATTGTTCTAAGGATCTCATTTATAGCTAAATTCAGGCATGTCCGGTGGTAAGATATGTTTAGGGATGTGCGCGGGACCCTACGTAGGACAACCTCAATTTGCCCCTGTGGTTCATTATTAGCCTAATGCGGTTATGTATTTATGGCTGTCTTTATGACAGTTATGATTGTTTTGGCCTTCATTGCCACATGACAATAGAATACCAGGAACTGAGTGACATTATGGCATCAGGGATGCTTTGGTAACCTTGCAGTAGTCTACACAAATCAACCAAATGATCCTCAAGCGGCTATTTCAGTTCAAAGCCCCACACAAATGTGAAACACTCCTTTTATATGCACCAAAAGTTACCAGTGAGCTTTTTCAGCATACCTGATGCTTGCTCCAATATGTTTGAATGTTGTAGTTCTTTTAACATTGCATTTGAATATTCCATTTAAAAGGGCTGGCCATGAAAGAGAAGGTTTGAAACAAACTTCATCATGAACACCTCTACACCACAAAGAACCTCCACACTTGCAATAATGATTAGAGCTTACTTTGCTCCCATTCATCCCTCCACCTTCCTGATACAAGATTAGACAGTTTCAGGCACTCTTAAAGTCATATCTAGTCCTGTA